CATATATAGAAGGGTGGGCATGACGGACGGCTAAACCCGCCGACGTCTTAGCGAGAACATGCATCTTGGCAGGTCATGGTTGGGAGGGGGAAGGAGGTGGGGCGCCGGGGAGATAATTGGGTCAAGCAAGACTTAAGAAGGAGATCACCTCGCCAGAGACGTCTTTAAGTCTCAAGTGTATGCTTTTTTTCCCAGCCTTAAAACCCCCAAGGAAAATATTAGAATCATTAACATTCTTTAAGGGCAACGCTGCAGTCAGAGCTGCAGTCAGAGCTGCAGTCAGAGCTGCAGTCAGAGCTGCAGTCAGAGCTGCATTGCAAGCCTGGCAAGCTATCAACCCGTCTTGTTGATAGAGGGGGGGGAGAGTTTTCAGGGGAAAGCGCCAAGCCATTACGACTATATAGCACTGGGAAGGGGTCAGGATAAGGCTTAGGGATGGGATGGAGGGAAGGAATAGTGGCAAACCACTTGTGGATAGTCTCGGGGGATTGAACCCCGACCTGCATGAAGCGAGACCGTCGCTCTACCGTCCACCCCAAGTGGTTGGGTTCCTCCTCATAGAGCGTGGCATTTTGACTCATATTCTACCTAAGGAGGCCTGGTCAGAGACCGGGCCGCGGGAACACCCGGAACCACCGCAAGGTAACCGCAACATAAGGGCCAAAAATCGTCGTACTAGATAATGAAAGCGGTTGGCGAAAGTAACATACTGTCCCGTTTTCTGTTATGGGTCCTCTGGTGGGTTAGGATAAGGGGGCACTTTAGTACGTCAGTTTCTTGACGTTGGGGACACCTCAGGAGGACGGACTGGTGTCCAATAGGCAGATATATGGAGTAACTGAACGAAAAAATGTGTTTGGAAAAAAAAAAGAGTATTTATCTCTGTTGCCAAATTTTTGTTTAGCTCTGTCAGAATCATTTTCTGCCTAAATCACACACAGTGTGTACGTGCTGCCACGTGTAGCACGTAAGGGAATGTAGGCGTGCCTGTCAAGTTGTATGTACAGTAATAACAAGATTATTATTATTAAAAGATGATTCCTTATTAAGGTCACTCAATAGCACGATAGAGCTTCGGTCTTTACACGCACGTGGGGATCCCCGGTTCGATTCTTCTAGAGCCCAAGTGAATGGAATTCTAAACATTCTCCAGCCCGTCCTCATAAACAAAGATCCAATGACCATTCCATCCACCCACCAACCCCCAGCTGTTTATGAATGAAAAACGGTTTACACACGACTCACAACTGATGACGTCCGAACACTTCCGGAACAAGTGCTTCACTGACGACTTGTGTTCGAACCACAACGCTGTAAATGCTTCACCCACGTACTACAAATACAAATAATCGCCAACAGAACCTAAACACCTAACCTAACCAGTGCCTAAATATTATATATTTTAGCATTTTGTGCATAATATTAATTTATACTTGAGAAAAGTTCAATTTTGAATGAACAGCATGATAAAATTGATGTGTCATTGGGGTCGACCGCTGGATGGAATGGTCTTGCTCAGAAGACGAGTTGACATTCTCGTGACAGAATTGCAAATCAAGCTAATCAAAGCTTCCTTGATCATGGTCCCAGCAACCGAAATGAGAAATAGGCTATCTAATTACTGGATAACACATATATATAACAGCTGTCTTATCCAACTAGGGGGGGAGACCGTGGCTTGTTGCTATCTATCTGGGCGAGGGTTGGCTATCGTGTCGGCATGTGAAGAACGTCCCATTTGTTATCTTATCGACAGGAAATTATTTAAGGCATGATCTCAGCGAGCCGAGACGTCGGTCGATGCCACACGTCGGAACACCTTATGTCGAACTCCGACAAAGTACCCAACTGTCACCCTTTTACCCCCCCCCTCAACCCCCTCAATAGTACCCCAGCTATCGGCTTCTCCATCCAAATAGTAGCCAGCTGTCACCCCCCTCTACAGTACCCAGCTGTCCCCCCTCTACAGTACCCAGCTGTCCCCCCTCTACAGTACCCAGCTTTCACCCCTCTACAGTACCCAGCTGTCACCCCTCTACAGTACCCTGCTGTCACCCCTCTACAGTACCCAGCTGTCACCCCTCTACAGTACCCAGCTGTCACCCCCCCCCTCCCACAATATCCCATCTATATATTAAATTCAACTAATATCCCAATCATCCTAGGACACACACACCCAGCCTCCCAGTCATCCTAGCACGCACACCCATCATCCCAGTCATCCTAGCACACACACCCATCATCCCAGTCATCCTAGCACACACACCCATCATCCCAGTCATCCTAGGACACACACCCAGCCTCCCAGTCATCCTAGCACACACACCCATCATCCCAGTCATCCTAGGACACACACCCATCATCCTAGTCATCCTAGCACACACACCCAGCCTCCCAGTCATCCTAGCACACACACCCATCATCCCAGTCATCCTAGGACACACACCCATCATCCCAGTCATCCTAGGACACACACCCAGCCTCCCAGTCATCCTAGGACACACACACCCAGCCTCCCAGTCATCCTAGCACACACACCCAGCCTCCCAGTCATCCTAGGACACACACCCAGCCTCCCAGTCATCCTAGGACACACACCCAGCCTCCCAGTCATCCTAGGACACACACCCAGCCTCCCAGTCATCCTAGGACACACACCCATCCTCCCAGTCATCCTAGCACACACACCCATCATCCCAGTCATCCTAGCACACACACCCAGCCTCCCAGTCATCCTAGGACACACACCCATCCTCCCAGTCATCCTAGGACACACCCATCCTCCCAGTCATCCTAGGACACACACACCCAGCCTCCCAGTCATCCTAGCACACACACCCAGCCTCCCAGTCATCCTAGGACACACACCCATCCTCCCAGTCATCCTAGGACACACACCCATCCTCCCAGTCATCCTTGGACACACACACCCAGCCTCCCAGTCATCCTAGCACACACACCCAGCCTCCCAGTCATCCTAGCACACACACCCATCATCCCAGTCATCCTAGGACACACACCCATCATCCCAGTCATCCTAGGACACACACCCATCATCCCAGTCATCCTAGGACACACACCCATCCTCCCAGTCATCCTAGGACACACACCCAGCCTCCCAGTCATCCTAGGACACACACCCATCCTCCCAGTCATCCTAGGACACACACACCCAGCCTCCCAGTCATCCTAGGACACACACCCAGCCTCCCAGTCATCCTAGGACACACACCCAGCCTCCCAGTCATCCTAGCACACACACCCAGCCTCCCAGTCATCCTAGCACACACACCCAGCCTCCCAGTCATCCTAGGACACACACCCATCCTCCCAGTCATCCTAGGACACATCATCCCAGTCATCCTAGGACACACACCCAGCCTCCCAGTCATCCTAGCACACACACCCAGCCTCCCAGTCATCCTAGGACACACACCCATCCTCCCAGTCATCCTAGGACACACACCCAGCCTCCCAGTCATCCTAGGACACATCATCCCAGTCATCCTAGGACACACACCCAGCCTCCCAGTCATCCTAGGACACATCATCCCAGTCATCCTAGGACACACACCCATCATCCCAGTCATCCTAGGACACACACCCATCATCCCAGTCATCCTAGCACACACACCCAGCCTCCCAGTCATCCTAGGACACACACCCAGCCTCCCAGTCATCCTAGGACACACACCCAGCCTCCCAGTCATCCTAGGACACACACCCAGCCTCCCAGTCATCCTAGGACACACACCCAGCCTCCCAGTCATCCTAGGACACACACCCAGCCTCCCAGTCATCCTAGGACACATCATCCCAGTCATCCTAGGACACACACCCAGCCTCCCAGTCATCCTAGGACACACACCCAGCCTCCCAGTCATCCTAGGACACACACCCAGCCTCCCAGTCATCCTAGGACACACATCCCAGTCATCCTAGGACACACACCCAGTCATCCTCCACACCCAGCCTCCCAGTCATCCTAGGACACACACCCAGCCTCCCAGTCATCCTAGGACACACACCCAGCCTCCCAGTCATCCTAGGACACATCATCCCAGTCATCCTAGGACACACACCCAGCCTCCCAGTCATCCTAGGACACATCATCCCAGTCATCCTAGGACACACACCCAGCCTCCCAGTCATCCTAGGACACACACCCAGCCTCCCAGTCATCCTAGGACACATCATCCCAGCCACCCTTGGCAACCAGTCATTTAGCGTGACTCGACAGATGAAGGGGGGGGGGAGATGACGAGGACTCGCTTGCTAATTAGGTCTCGGGTGCCAGATATACCACTCGTGTGTATGTATGCCATTATACCCCCAAGTATATTCGCAGCCCCGAGTATGCTGAAGGGATTTGATGGAATGTCTGTGGTCAATGCCACGCGTGTTGCCGGGGAGTGGGTGGGTGGGGAATGACAGTCTATTGGTTGAGTGATTAGAGGACTGGAGTGCCATGGGCATATAGAGACTCCCTGGCTGACCGGGTTCGAATCCTTCTGGGAGACTTTTGAGTGACAGGTGGCTGAAGCCATAAGATACATATGTACAGGATGAACAACCCAGCGGGTTTTCTTCCTATTGGGGAGTATTGTACATGTTGCTATGGCGGTGTGTCCACTCACAGGATGAGTGACGCTGCCCAGTACTGTCACTATGGCGGTGTGTCCACTCACAGGATGAATGGCGCTGCCCAGTACTGTCACTATGGTGGTGTGTCCACTCACAGCATGAGTGACGCTGCCCAATACTGTCAATATGGCGGTGTGACCACTCACAGGATGAGTGACGCTGCCCAATACTGTCACTATGGCGGTGTGTCCACTCACAGGATGAGTGGCGCTGCCCAATACTGTCACTATGGCGGTGTATCCACTCACAGGATGAGTGACGCTGCCCAATACTGTCACTATGGCGGTGTGTCCACTCACAGGATGAGTGACCCAATAAACTCGCCCCTCGGGGCCAAAACTTTAAAATGTACTTACATAAGTCGTTTTGAAGTTATTCATGTAGCTGAGAGCTCTTGAGACGGCCTGGAGGATGTGTTTAGCCAAAGAGTTAGGAGTATTGGTCGCGTCGTGCATAAGATTGGTACAAGGCTGCGACCAATGCGCCGTCTCACGACGACTCCTGCTGTTAGCCACGTCGTCGGGTTGGTCGTCCATGCTTCTGCTCACACGCGGTCTCTCCAGCGACTCCTCCAGCTGACTGATCTCCCACTCTAAGGTATTCTGAACGGTTTCCGACGCCGCTGCTGCCGCCGCTGCTGCTGCTGCTGTTTCGAGGATATAAGCTGTTCTTCTGCTTCTGACTGGCACGGCTGATACGGGACTCAACACTAGCAGGAGGAGGCACCACCGGGTCCAATCTGTAAAGAATATTGTAACGTTAATAAGACAATATTCTTAAGTGTGTGTGTGTGCATCTTATCTTGCTTTATAAGGGTTAATTAGCTTGTTATATGTTTAAGGGTTTAATAGGGTTGTATTGGAGTAAACGATGCCTGATATTAGTAATAAATAGTGGTTATGAAGTCGTTGTTGTTGTGATGGTTGTAGGCTGGTAGTGGTGACGTGTTGTGGTAGCTATATTGGTGATGGTATTGATAATATTGGTAGTGATGGTAGTGGTGGTGATGGTAGTGGTGACAATGGTGGTGGTGGTAGTGGTGGTGGTGGTAGTGGTAGCAATGGTGGTGGTTGCAGTGATAATGGTAGTGGTCGATTGTGATATAGTGGAGATTATAGGGGCGGCATACTAGTGATGGTGTAGTGGTATATTTGGTAGCATGTCCACATTTCATTCGAAATTGGCTATAATGCTAACAATTACTCATATAGAATATTATAGGTAACAATTACTCATATAGATCATTATAGGTAACACTTCATACATATAAGACTCGCATAGAATTAAAAAAAACGAATATACGAATAGTTTGATGTCCACAGAAATATACTGATGAATGAGGACACTCAGGATGAGTATACAGAACTATACTCATCCTAGATATACTGATGAATGCACATCTTGCATAATAGATACAAACGGGAATATTATTCATCTTGGGTGTATAACTGCATTGCTGTAATTTTTTCACTTGAATTTTTGCATTTAATTACGTTCTCTGCACTACCACCACCACCAGCTTACCTGGTACCTGGTATCTGGTACCTGGGACCTGGTACCTGGTACCTGGTACCAGCTTACTCCTCTACACCACCAGCTGCGTCACCAGCTTACTCCTCTACACCACCAGCTGCGTCACCAGCTTACTCCTCTACACTAGCAGCTGCGTCACCAGCTTAGTCCTCTACACTAGCAGCTGCGTCACCAGCTTAGTCCTCTACACTAGCAGCTGCTCCACCAGCTTAGTCCTCTACACCACCAGCTGCGTCACCAGCTTAGTCCTCTACACCACCAGCTGCGTCACCAGCTTAGTCCTCTACACCACCAGCTGCGTCACCAGCTTAGTCCTCTACACTAGCAGCTGCGTCACCAGCTTAGTCCTCTACACAAGCAGCTGCTCCACCAGCTTAGTCCTCTACACCACCAGCTGCTCCACCAGCTTAGTCCTCTACACTAGCAGCTGCGTCACCAGCTTAGTCCTCTACACCACCAGCTGCTCCACCAGCTGAGTCCTCTACACTAGCAGCTGCTTAACCAGCTTAGTCCTCTACACCACCAGCTGCGTCACCAGCTTACTCCTCTACACTAGCAGCTGCGTCACCAGCTTAGTCCTCTACACTAGCAGCTGCTCCACCAGCTTAGTCCTCTACACCACCAGCTGCGTCACCAGCTTAGTCCTCTACACCACCAGCTGCGTCACCAGCTTACTCCTCTACACCACCAGCTGCTCCACCAGCTTACTCCTCTACACCACCAGCTGCTCCACCAGCTGAGTCCTCTACACTAGCAGCTGCTCCACCAGCTTAGTCCTCCACACCACCAGCTGCTCCACCAGCTGAGTCCTCTACACTAGCAGCTGCTCCACCAGCTTAGTCCTCTACACCACCAGCTGCTCCACCAGCTGAGTCCTCTACACTAGCAGCTGCTTAACCAGCTTAGTCCTCTACACTAGCAGCTGCGTCACCAGCTTAGTCCTCTACACTAACAGCTGCTCCACCAGCTTAGTCCTCTACACCACCAGCTGCGTCACCAGCTTAGTCCTCTACACTAGCAGCTGCTCCACCAGCTTAGTCCTCTACACTAGCAGCTGCTCCACCAGCTTAGTCCTCTACACCACCAGCTGCGTCACCAGCTTAGTCCTCTACACTAGCAGCTGCGTCACCAGCTTAGTCCTCTACACCACCAGCTGCGTCACCAGCTTAGTCCTCTACACTAGCAGCTGCTCCACCAGCTTAGTCCTCTACACCACCAGCTGCGTCACCAGCTTAGTCCTCTACACCACCAGCTGCGTCACCAGCTTAGTCCTCTACACTAGCAGCTGCTCCACCAGCTTAGTCCTCTACACTAGCAGCTGCGTCACCAGCTTAGTCCTCTACACTAGCAGCTGCGTCACCAGCTTAGTCCTCTACACTAGCAGCTGTTCCACCAGCTTAGTCCTCTACACTAGCAGCTGCTACACCAGCTTAGTCCTCTACACCACCAGCTGCGTCACCAGCTTAGTCCTCTACACCACCAGCTGCGTCACCAGCTTAGTCCTCTACACCACCAGCTGCGTCACCAGCTTAGTCCTCTACACTAGCAGCTGCGTCACCAGCTTACTCCTCTACACCACCAGCTGCGTCACCAGCTTAGTTCAACTCACGAGTCAAATCCAGAAGCTGAAGCCAGAAGCTGGTTATATGGAAGGGATCCAGAGGAAGCAGGAGAAGCGCTCCGGCCCGTCTGACGAGTGCGTGTGCGTGAGTGAGTGTGTGTGTGTGAGAGGTGACGGGCGATTGTGGTGCGTCATCTCTATGTTTCTAGGAAGCGTCTGGAGAGACTATACAACTTCCACTACCTGTGACGCACGCAAACACACGCACAGGCATACATACGCACACTCACACACATTATATAGACGTAATCATATGGAGCCCAGTAGGCTCAGGAATCTGTACACCAGCTGAGTGACAATTGAGAGGCAGGACCAAAGAGCCAGAGCTCAACCCCCGCAAGCACATCTAGGTGAGCACACACACACACACACACACACACACACACACACACACACACACACACACACACACCGTGCGCTCAATCACGGACTCAAAAGGATATTATCGATTAAAAAGGTTGAAATGCTGGGCCCATGAATTACAAGTCAACCTCCACGGGCACAAATATGTGAATTCACCACATATAAGAACATACGAATACATATGTAAGAAAAATGTAATTACGAATAATAAACGCTGGCAACACTGTACCGACACTTAGGCCTAAAACCTGTAATTTAGGCTTTAATCCAGAAGTATTAAGGAATCCTCTTTATCCTAATACAAAACAGTACACAATTTATACCCTATCCTAAACATTCATTTAATCATCTTAACCAAACTGTTATAGAATATTAAGGTCTATATATATACAATATAGACCTATATACAATATCTATATACAATATATTCCTGTTAGCTATGTGATAGAGACTAATTATCGTGAAGCTAAACGGAAAAGTTTTCCCCGAAATTGAAATTGAAATCAGTTTATTGGGGTAGAAATACCCACAAAAGGGATGAAATAGTTCAATAGTTCAAGCCATTCTCAACCCTGTTCAACGTGTCCGCTCTTCAAAGAACGTCGCTTTTCGCTCGTAGGCGTTACACAAGGGCCAAAAAAAAAAATATTGTCGTACTAGCAATTAATGGAAGAAGCTAACGAAAATGACATACTACTACTGTCCCGTTTTCTGTTTTGGGTCCTCTTGGTAGGTTAGGATAAGGATAGTTTTCGAATGATGAACATTTCTTAGTTCACCTAAGGGGTTCGAACGCCGGGAAAGGTACAGTTACAAGCACCTGACGGTACCAGGGAGGGTACAGGAAGGGAGGGTTCGTATGGGAGGGGGAGGAGGGGATGGGATGTCAAGAAGTGGGAGAGGAATAGGTGGGAGAGGGAGGGGATGGAAGTGGGAGGGGATAGGGGGGGGGGCGGCGACACAGCAACAAACATGACTCAGAGAAGTTGTAAGTTATCTAGGAGGAGGAGGTGGGGGGGGGGGGGGAAGGAGAGAGAGAGAGAGAGCAGAGAGAACCCCTTGCCCCTCTCCCCATCCCCCCCTTGCTCCTCCTAGCCCCCCCTATAACCCCTAACCACCCCAGCTTACATGTACCCCCCCCCCCCCCACCACCCACCCATCCCCCAAACCCCCTTACTTACGGACTGTTGAAAAACCTCTAACCTCTTCAATTGTGTTACATTACTCGTCACCGAAATGTATGTTATTCTATCCATAAGAACACTATCCCTGGCGCGTTATACAGGGATGGAAACCTTCAAGAATATATATATATATATATATATATATATATATATATATATATATATATATATATATATATATATATATATATATATATATATATATATATATATATACCCTATATAGATCTAGGCTACAGGATATATAGATTTATGCTACAAGATGAAGGCTTTGTGCCTTGTTGTTTAAGATTCGCTACTTGGAGCAAAAAGTTCCAAGTAGCACGGGCTATGGTGAGCCCGTAGACGGTATTTGTGCCTTGTAAGGCAGAGTATATAGCCCCTAGGGGGAATCAGAGATAGGGGGGCAGGGATAGGGGAGGGGAAAAGACAAAAGAATAAGGTGGATAGGCTATGGACGGCATCCTAGCCGACTGCGGGGCGCGCTTGGTGGCTAGGCGTTGCTGCCTTTTGAGAACAGTAATGTGCCAAACGTCCTTTCATGCCCTTTTGTTTAGCCCACGCTTCCCCCCCCCCCCCCTTCTGTCACACCACTCTCCCTTTCTCCCTCCCTCCCTCTCTCTCTCCCTCACCTCTCAACCTGCTCTCCCAAATCATGGCTGCGATAGTGTCCGTTAACTTTATATATTTATATATTGCATTAGTATCTGTATTATCAGTGCACTATTTAATTTCCTGTACAGGAATATAGTGACACTGTAGCTGTGAGTTGTGACCATCACATCTCTGTACAATGATATATTCAACAGCATCAAAAAATGTAATCATCTACAGGAAATACTGGCAAAAGGGACTTTCTCCCCCCACCACCACCACCACCAGGATTTCATTCCGTGCAACACTAAATATAATTTACACAACCAACCACATAATCTGTCTAAATGTGTTGACCCTCCTCCTCTCTCCTACCCTCTCACACGGCTAATACTGACTCTCCTCCCTCTCCTATACCTCATATAGCCTCATATAGCCTCTCCT